ATTGATTTTAAGAACTTATTATAATTATTATTATTTTTTATAAAGTGGAAATCAGACATACTCCCCCCGTTGAACGAGTGCGCGTTCAACAGAGAAGTATTTCAAAAAATTTGTTAGTTTAGAAGCTCATATTTGGTGGCCCTGAAAAGGGCCGTTTTATGTGATGGTTAAGCTTGAAGCTTAGTCGAACAATCGGCGATGATGTCGAGCGGAGCGTTTGCGATTGCGTAGCTGGGTACCCGTAGGTTTCTCTCCGAATTTTGCTTTGCTCTTGTATACTTGATAACGTCTTTTCCTTTGATCGACTTTGTTATTTCCAGTGTTATCGTAGTAGAACACCGTCGGCGAAGAGAAGGGTATGAAGTTTGGTATGCGATCCGGGGAAAATCGCTCCGATCCACGGCAAGGAATAAAATGATGCCCGTTGCTTGGAGGTGGTGTTCGTGACCTGGGTGGGGTGCATGGTTCTGTTGATCGTTCAACTGGTGATGGCATGGTGAATAATGTGACAGGTTTCTTGACTTTAAGCTGCTTTCCTTTGGGGTCACGGCGGATTTTGGAAGGCGCTGTGATTTTTTTTGCTGTGACCTTTTTTCTCGGTGGAGCTGCTTTCCATTCTTTGTTTTTGACAACAGATGCCGGTAGGTGGTCGTGAGGGTCAGCCGATCGTCGCTTGGATTGCCGTGCCGGTTTCAATGGAATTGGCTCTATTAGCTGAGCCAACCTTGTTGGTCGTGTTTGAGTTCTTGTGGTGAAGTTGTCAGGCAGCTCCTTGGCGGGGTCAAAGTTCAATAGCGTTGACAAAATATCCATCGTGCTCCAGGTACTTGACTTGACTTCTCGAAAGGTTGCAGGTGAATGAAATTTTAATTCGTGATGTCCTCTTTTTATAGGGAAAAAAATTTTTGCGCGCGCAAAATTTTGGTCAAAGTTCAATAGCGTTGACAAAATATCCATCGTGCTCCAGGTACTTGACTTGACTTCTCGAAAGGTTGCAGGTGAATGAAATTTTAATTCGTGATGTCCTCTTTTTATAGGGAAAAAAATTTTTGCGCGCGCAAAATTTTGGCGGGACAAATGATTACTGAAGTTGAATTTCGCGCGCAATCCCTGTTGGCGAGAAGACGCCCTATTGGTCCTTGTCTGAACTTATGGGGAGGCGGCAAAGTTTGGAAACCGGGCGCCGTAAAGTCCCCGTGGTGGTCTTGACATCGACGACGCGTGTGACGTCATCAGGGCCCGGAAAGCACTTGGTGATTCGTCCTAATCTCCATTGCTGAGGGGGTAAATTATTGTCTTGAATAATGACGAGATCATCAATTTTTATTGGATCAGTTTCTTGAGTCCATTTTGATCGCTGCCTCAAACAGTTGATGTACTCATTTTTCCATGTTTGCCAAAAATGTTGACTGGCTTTGTTTATCAAGCCCCATCTATCCACACGATTAGAAGGAGTTTCTGTTAGATTTTCTTCGGGTAAGGCGTTGAGTGGACGACCCACAAGAAAATGACCTGGGGTCAAGGCGTCCATATCTGAGGGATCTGTTGATAGCGGGCAGAGCGGCCTAGAGTTCATTATCGCCTCCACTCGAGTCACGAGTGTAGTCATCTCCTCGAAGGTGAAAATTTGAGTACCCATGATTCTTTTGAGATGATGTTTTGCGGATTTTATCCCTGCTTCATGTAGTCCACCAAAATTTGGCGCGGAAGTGGGCTGAAAATGCCAATTGATTTCCTTTTTGCTTAGATTTTCCGCAATGCTTGTTTCATTAGTTTTTAAGAATGCATATAGCTCTTTTAAAGAGTTATTCATTCCTACAAAGTTGGTACCGTTATCAGAGAACATATTTTTGCATAATCCTCTGCGAGAGACAAATCGAGCTAATGCGCCTTCAAAAGCCTTTCCCTTGTAGCAACGGTTCGTGAAAAACTCGTAAAAAAAATGTAAAGAACTTGTGAAT